TACTGAACGCATACTATCTGCGAATAGAGATAATACATATAATTCTCCACTTTTTAATGAAATAACTAATCGATCTGAAGATATAAATGCAACTTGTGAACCTTCCAAACTTATTTTTACCCCTTCTTGTGGTTCTATAATTATAAGAAGTTATTAAAAAATTTAATATATATTAAATATATGAATATTTGAAAATTCATTAAATGAATCATATTTAATACAAACTTAATGGAAAATTTGTACTTGTTTCTGCTAAACTATTTAGGGATACTCCATATGGTGGTATACTTTGATTTAAATAAATAAGAGAATTAACTGCCATAATTAAGGTACCACCAAGTGGTTTTTTCACTGGTACTGCTTGATAACAATCAAATGGTAAATTTGATACAGACCAAATTATAGGATGTACTCTTTGTTGAATATTTAATGATATTGCAACCATAGCACAAGTATCTTGTCTAACTGCAATGCGGCTAAAATTTTATATATATATATATATATCATATTTACTATTTTATAAGAAATCAATAAAAATTAAATCAAATAAATTTGATTTAATTTATATATTTAAAAACTTACCCAGAAAATGTTCTTACTGGTTCATATAATATTAATAATGTTGGTTCATAATAACCATGTAAAAATTGCAAATCTATTATATTATCCATTTTTTCTTCTAAACATTTTAATACAATCATATATGATGATAATATAGGAGTTTTATTAGATGATGCTTTTGAATTATCTAACAAATCTCCATCATCAAGACTTGGATCCTTTTTAAAAGGTAATACAACTAATTTTCTACCATATATTAACATTACTGCACATCTACCTTCAGGATCTACTCTAACTATAGGAATATGATGATGATTTGTCCATCCATCCTAAAAATAATAAAAATTGTATAATATTTTAGATCATTTTTAATTTTTATTTTATTATTAATTAATATTTTGTTTTTGTTAATTTAAAAGATATATATTTAAAATTTTTATCAATATTTTAAAATTAATTACTCGTATTTCTTCTTCTTCAAAATAATGTAAAGATACTGTTCTAAGATCATGTGTATCTTGATCATATTCTACAACAGATAATTTTGCATCACGAAAACTTAATAAAAGAGAATCTCTTTGTGATCCAACAAGAGTTACAGCTTGCATTGACATGACATTTCCATGTAAAGTATATTGAGATAAACATTCTAATTTCATTTTCGGTGGACGTGATTCTAAAAAAAATGAGATATTGATTTTTTTTAACTTTGTCACTTGTTTTCTTTTTATGCTATTAATAATTAATAGAAAGTACCTGTATATTTCTCTTTTTTTGTTATATCCACGTCTGGAATTAAACGAAATACTCTGATAATATTTGCGCCAGCTACTACAAGACATTTTTCTGAACGATTAAAAAAATAACATGTTATTGCATGTTCTACACCTGTAGCTGGATGAGTACTTTTACAAATTGAATACATTTTGTATTTACAATATTACAAAATCATTTTATATTTTGTAAGGATTAAGCTATACACAATACACTGCTTGCTATATTGTCATATGAAGTATGTTAGATGTTATTTAAAATTCTTTACAACATTAAAATAAAAAATACACTAGTTTCGATTTTTAAGTTTTAAACCAAATGTATTATGTAAATTATTTTTAAATATATAATTGAAATTTCGATTTAATACAGATCTAATACAGATCGTTCATCTATTCAAATTAATCAAAATAAATAAATCAAATAACATAATAAATGTAATTTCAGTAATTATCAAAATGTCTGAAGATATATGAAGATCGATTTATACAAATTTTCTTGATATTTATGAACGCCATCTTTTCATAAAAATGAATTGTATTTATAAATTTTTATTTCAGAACTAATTTATTTTATTATTTTATTATTAATATTTATATTTGAAATAATTCTATAAATAAATTAATATGCGAAAAAATAATTCATATTTCATATTTTGAAATTTTGATCATATGATTTTGATCTAATTTTTCTAAATTTTGGTCATATGATTTTGTTTACATCTAGTAACTGATCTCAGTGAATAATATGTATAATTGTGAATGCGATTACTTATTGTAACCAATAAAATTAAAGGAAAATAAAATGTATTTGTATATCTTCTATATCTTGTATAGATTATGATATAATACACTTGTGCTAAGTGCCGCGCTTACTTACGTTTAATTGAAGAGAAAACAAAGAGAATGTGGATGTTAATTTTATAATTATTTTATATAGTTATAGTTATAGTTATTCGCAATGTAATATTTATATAAAGTATAATATTATTCATGTGATTTGTTTTCTGTATGTAAAGGTTAAATATAAAAAAAATAAAATATTTTATATTGATTATAATAAATTGAAAAATTTTTAAATATTACTTGATGCTACATATAATTCCTTATTAAATATAAAAAATAATGTCAAATACAATAAGTGGAAAAAATTTGTTAAGACCTACTGGATTACAATGTAAAAATCTTCAAGAATATTTAAAATCACGTCCATCAGAAGTATTAAACAAATTATATCATAATCCTCCAATTTGTTTGGCTGTTTTTCGTGAATTGCCAGTAATAGCAAAACATTATGTTATGAGATTATTATTTGTTGAACAACCTGTTCCTCAAGCAGTCATTGCTTCTTGGTGTTCCAAGCTTCATTTTGAAGAACATCAAAAAGTAGTTCTAATACTTAATGAACTGAATGTGTGGAATGAAGCATCAATACCAGGTGGACTTCCTGGATGGATTCTAAATACAACATTCAAGAAAAACTTAAAAATTGTTCTTTTGGGTGGTGGAAAACCATGGACAATGTCAAACCAATTAGAAACTGATAGCAAACCTAGAGATGTTGCATTTTTAGATTCATATGCACTAGAAAGGTGGGAATGTGTGTTACATTATATGGTTGGTTCACAGCAACAAGAAGGTAATTTGATTGAAATTAATAACGATGAACATATTTAACATAAGAAAAAATATAGTTTTTTTAAAATTTTATGAAATAATATTATTTTATGTTTTATCTGATATTATATTAGGTATATCTGCTGATGCTGTTAGAATTCTTTTACATGCTGGATTAATGAAGCGAGATGAAGCTGATGGAAGCCCAGTTATTACACAAGCAGGTTTTCAATTTTTATTATTGGAAACTGCATCACAGGTATTTAAAGATAATTATTAAATTTAATGCAATTAATAAAATGATTTTAAGTAATAAAAATATAATTTCATAAATATAAATTTTGTGATATGTTTATTGTTTTAAATGTGTTTTAGGTGTGGTATTTTATTTTACAATATTTAGATACAATAGAAGCAAGAGGACTTGATTTGGTTGAATGTCTTACTTTTTTATTCCAATTAAATTTTTCAACACTTGGTAAAGATTATAGTACTGAAGGAATGTCTGAAGGTTTATTAACATTTTTGCAACATTTAAGAGAATTTGGTCTTGTTTATCAACGGAAACGAAAAGCAGGAAGGTAAAATATATTTTTTTATTAAAATTAAAATTAATTTTTATTTAAAATAAATAATGTAAATAAAGTCATATTAAATAATGAATATCCTTAGATTTTATCCTACAAGATTAGCATTAAATATTGCAACTGGACAAAACAAACCATTATCTAGAGATCCAGAGAAAGAAGGTTATATTGTTGTTGAAACAAATTACAGAGTATATGCTTATACAAATTCAAATTTACAAGTTGCTTTACTTGGTTTATTTTGTGAAATGTTATATAGGTATATTTAAAAAAATTAAATATTTTACATTGAATGATATTTTGTATAAAATATAATAGTTATAATTAATAAAAATATAATTAAAATATTTTGTTTATAGATTTCCAAATTTAGTTGTATCAATATTAACAAGAGATTCTGTTCGTCAAGCCTTAAAAAGTGGAATTACTGCTACACAAATTGTTGGGTATATAAAAAAATTATATTTATATATAAATATATATAAAATATATTAAGATATGCTAAAATTATAATAAAATATAGTATATTAAGATATTACAAAAAACACTTAATTTGAATTTTGCTATATTAACAGTTATTTACAGCAACATGCTCACAGTAAAATGATAGAGGCAGGTCCACCAATTTTACCTCCTACTATAGTAGATCAAATTAAACTGTGGGAAAATGAAAGGAATAGATTTATATTTAGTGAAGGAGTTTTGTACAGTCAATTTCTTTCTCAAACTGATTTTGAAGTACTTAGAGATCATGCTCTCTCTACTGGAGTATTAATTTGGCAAAGTGAAAGGTCTATTTTTAATATTTTTATATTTATCTTAGAGTTAAATAAACAAATACTTATAACATAAAATTTTATGTTTTTATAGAAAACGGACAATGGTAGTTACAAAAGCAGGACATGATGATGTAAAAAAATTTTGGAAACGATATTCTAAAGGTTCCAGTTAATATAGTAAGAATAACATTAGAAAGCAATTACATTTGTTCATAAATAACAAATTTATAGTAAAATTTCATCTTGAATTATAATGTATTTTTCTAATTTTAATACTTGTAAGATAAATGATTTATTAAATATTATACATCAAAAAGTATAAAATAAAATATAAATTTGAATATCATAAATTAAAAAATAAATTAAAACTGTAAGTATAATTAATAATTTAAGATAAATAATAAATATGGATAATTTTTATTGATCTGTATAAATTTCTTTATCAAAATTTCAGATTGAATTAATGAGAAAATCATTAATTATTAACTAATAATATCTCAAAAGCAAATCAAGCAAACAAATATGTATTGTGATACTTTAGAAAAAAAATTTTTATTTTTATTATATAACTACAGATTGTCAATAATATTTGTAATTTTAGAATTTATTTTTCATTTAATAAAATTAATTTTTTAAATTATACAAAATATACACAATATTCCATTATTTTTATTTTATTTTTTATTTAGAATAATTTTGTTTAAAAAAATAATTATGGTAAAAATATAATACAAATATAAAAATTAATATTTCATAAATTAAACCAGTTCATTCGTCATTTAAACATAATTAACAAAAGTAATGTTTACTTTTATTAGTCAGTCCCAAATATTAGATGATAAAAGAACTTGTTGTCAGTGCTGTGGTGGTGATGGTGTAGGCTTTGGCATTTTGGATAATAAACCTTGAATTTCTTTCTTTTCATCATATGTTTTCCATAGTTCATATAAATTAATGATATATCGTGCGATTTCTTGAATTTTTTCCATATCAGCATTTAATTCAGCAAACCATGCTTTTAAATCTTTTTGCAATATAACACAAGCTATTTGCAAACACCCTAAAAATATTTTTACATCTTTAACAATTTTAATTATATTTTACTTAATATATATGTTATTAAAGTATTTCTTATTTTTTCTTACCAATAGCTATTTGATGTGGTGGATATAATAAACATACATCTGTACGTAAACTATCATTAATTATACGCCATGCCAATGTAAGTAATTGTTCATCTGGACCTATATCTTGAATAAGAATTAATAAAGGCCGATATGGTTGATATACTATTAAACAACAATCTAAATGTTCCAACAGATAAAATTCACATTCAGAAATATGACTTCCACGATAAGGAAATTCTTGTGAATAAGCATAATTAAATTTATTTTTTACTGAAATAATAATTAACATTTAATAATTTTTTAACTCTAATTTTTCTTTTTTAATATAACTTATTGCATTTTATTATTTGACTATCTTATTTTATTTATTATATGTGATAAATAATATAATAAATAAATAAATATAATTACATACCTACAGTTTGACATGCTGCAATTAATCTATTATGAGAAATAACTCCAAATTCTTCTACTTTTGAAGCTAAGAAAACGGATGTAGGTGCTAATAATAATGGATCTATACATTTTAAACTATTACGAGCATAAAATCTTTTAAAATAAACAGTTGCAGTAGCTATAACTTGTTGTCTGAGTTTTAATTGTTCACCCAATACTTGTATTACTGAAAAAATGTAGAAAATTTTTATTCAAATCGTTTGAAAACAAATGTAAATATATGAATTTGTATAAGTGATACAAATACAGTTACATTGGAGGTATAATAATTCCCTAATCTTCGCAATATTAAGTATTGTCACATTGACAATACTTTCGATTAATTGACTAATCGAACGTTTAGCTTACAATTGGAGAAAAAGATGAATAATTTTTGATATTCTTCTTCTGTAAAAATTGAAAGATCATGTTGTCGTTCTCGCACTAAGTCTTGTTTATCAAGAAGCCATTGTTGACTAAAAGAGATATTTATTTATTTTATAAAGTAAGAATGAAAAAGAAAAGTTTATTAGAATATTCAATATCTTACTGATGTGAACTTTGCCAAAAATTACCAGCCATATTACTATCAAATTATTATCACAAAAATAAGCAAGTCTTATATCACCCTATACGCCTGATTATCGTCCGATGATTATCTCCAGATTCTATAATAATCCAGCATATAATAATTTGGCATTTATTCATTTGATTTTTATTTTAGTCACTGCTTATTTATAAAATGTAATACAAATCTTATAAACGTCAACATTTTCGCGGTCACTAGCATTATTTAAATTTATATCTCTTAAAAACTTTGTATGAACTTTTATTTACTAATTTCAATAAATTTGAAGATGACTGTACTATTTGATGTTAAATTTCTTTATTTTAGTGTCTTCAAATTTCCCTATATTTTCTGCAATATTATTTGTTGAAAATTAGCCTTTAATGAGTTAGATCTTACAATAGTAACTTTTTGGTGACCGGAAATACTTAAAAAGACGTTTTTCCGAACGTAATATAACGCGGTACAAATAGAAGTTTTAATATTTTAGATATAACATGTTTTTATAAAACTTTATCGACATATTTTCTATAATAAAATATATTAAGTATAAAATAAGTATACATATATATAAAATAGTTGAAGAAAAATTGATTTATATTATGTTTATTTCTGCGTGGGAATATAAAAATAGTAAAATGTACGTATATTTTCTATTGTCAATGAGAATCATCGATCATTAATTATAATAAATAATAAATTTTATAGAAATAAATTAAGAAATTGTATTAAAACAAAATTATAAAAATAATTTTAATATTATTATAACATAATTTAATATTTTTTTTACTTTTTTTTTTTTTTTACATATATATATATCTTTATATTTTAAATATGCTACAGATATCTTTTTTTTTTTAATAATAAAGAAATGTACTTTACAACTTTGCATCTAAAAGTTATTAAAATGAATTTAGAAAATATCGATAATGAAAAATATATTAATAAATATTTGTTTGTTTATTTTATAATATAATTATATATAATTTATATGCATTATAATTTTTATTTTTTTAATTGAATTATATTATATTGTTTAATACTATCAATTATTAATTTTATTGATTTTTTTCTTTGAATTTTTATATTTTTTTTTATTTTTTATTTTTTTTATAAAAAAAATATATATTATATTTTTAATATTTCTGAATATATATTATTAAATTTTATATTCAAGAAACAAATTAAACATGATATGATATAATATTTAGTATAAATTTATATTATTAACGATTCATAATTATGAATTAACAATGGCTAGATAAATGTACTAGAAAATCAACGTTTCAAGTTCAGGGACGTATTTAAATATACAAGCCTATAATAAAGTAATAGAGTTAATTTTATATTTTATATAATAAAAAATTTTATAAAATAAAAAATATTTAATGTATATTTTGTAATTAATTATATATTAATTAGTGAATATAATATAAAATTTGTGTATTAATATTATTTATTAATATATGATATAAAATTTAATTTAATAAAATGAAAAAAATATATAAAAATAATAAAATATATAACAAGTATTTATTAAGAAGCTACACAATTTTCATGCAAAATGATTTTTATGTAAATTTAAATATAAAAATAATAAGACATTAAAATATATTTAATATCTTAAAAACATTACAGGATTGTGAGTAATTTAAACGTACATTGTCCGCCATAGAGAGTTAGCGCGCTTAATTATTAACAAGACTGTATGAACAGCATCGATGAATGAATCCTGTTGCGCAGACCGGTAGCTTTCATTGTAAAAGCGTCGATAGCTACCATATAGTCAGTCAGTTTCACGGGGTGAACGTCGATGCGTGAGTTTCGTCAAATATTCTTTTTTGTATTTAGACTAAGAATTGTAATCAAAGAGATTGTGCGATATGATAATATTTGGACAATATGATTAGTATTTTTATTAATGAAGGTATGCTAAAGAATATGCAAAAGAAGAGATGTTTTCGAAACGAAAGCGACGGTCGGTAAAATCTAAAGGGAGCAGGCGTGGACTGCGAGTTCAAGTCGGGCGTGGGGATGAACTCTACGGGGAATGCGAGAGGGAGGAGGACTGGGGCGCTTCCTGTGGTTGGCACTAGCCTAAAAAAGCTCCATAAACAGAATCGCGGCCGAATGTCTTTTCAATGCAACGAAAATGGTGAAGTGTGGGAAAAAGTGGGCATTGAGTAAAAGCTTCGACAGCTCGAATCATGACAGAGGCGTCAGAGGAGTAAGTAATATTATAATGTCTATCGTACTTTTTGATAATTCTTTCGAAACCTGACTATGTTCATGACTATGGCTTAAATTTTGTATTCCTTGATCATGTTTGCAATGCGGTACTTGACAGTTCTGTCTGATCTCATCTTATTCATTCTCCTGTCAACATTTTGCATATCTATTAGTTTGCTTTAAGTTCTTCAAATTTTTTATATTTGAAACAATTCTTTCTTCTTGAAAATGTGTCATATTCATTGGATATCTAAAAATTTACACAAGTAAACGTATGATTTCGGTCAAAGTGTTGGTGTGTTATCCTATGTCCGTGTAGGGGTGACCGTTCATTCATTAAATCGATGTCAGCGCGTAACATCTGCTATCTCGTATATAACAGCGATTCTTCGCTTTCGCATATATGTCGGTCTTGCGCGTTTTTAAAATATCTTTAAAGTAATTTCGATCTTATATTGGTTCCAAATTTTCTTATTAAGTAAGAATTTGTGAATAAAATTTAATTTCTTATAAATTTTGTTTAGTATATTTTATATAATTCTATAATATTATTATAGAATTATAGTTAAAATTAAAATATATCATATAAATCTTCATGATAAAGTTTTTATTTTCCATTAAATAATAATATATATGTGAATCTTATTTTTTTAAGTTAATAAATATATTTGTATTAAAAATATAATAATAAATCAATTTTGTAATGTGAATTTATAATATTAACTTTTTTTCTTTGGCATTTCATTTTTAGTGGTAACTATTTGGTGAGGGTTCGTGCCCAGGTAATGACAAGGGATGATAGTTCAGGTGGTTGGGTTCCTCTAAGTGGCGGTGGTTTAGCAAATGTTTCGGTTAGACGAAGACCAACTTCTTCAGGTGGACATCAGTCTAATAATACCAATGGATCTGGTATTTCTACTACGACTGCCTCTACTACCAACACTACACAATCTGTATCTACTACAAGTATCACTAATGCCCAAAATCATGGATCTTCTAATAGTTCTCCACCTGGTGCAAAAAAAAGACATGAATACCTTATTTATGGGAAACGCATCACTGATCAATCAGTAATAAATATATCTATCACTAACTATATATTATAATATTATAAACATTTAATACATTTTATGTATAATTTATGTATTTGTTGTAAATATAATACATTATTATTTTTTTGTAGGTTGTTCTTAGTTGTACAATTAAAAAAGATTTTGAATATAATAAGGTAATGCCAACTTTTCATCATTGGAGGACAGGAGAGAAAAGATTTGGACTAACATTTCAAACAGCTGCAGATGCAAGAGCTTTTGATAAAGGTGTTCGTACAGCTGTTGAAGAATTACTAGAAGGTAAATTGTTAATTTAAATATAATATTTATTTTAATAAATTTGATAAAGATGATAATGATAAAATTTTGTATTAATATTATTTTATATTTCATTATTTGTTATTTTATTGCTACTTTTTATGGAATATGTAAATGGTAAGAATGTTAATTGTATTTTGAATATTACTAAAATTTAATATTTTAATTTTATATAAGTATATAAAAATATTTTCTTTTTCTTTATATTTTTTATAATTCAGGACTGACCAATTCAACATATGACAATTCATTAGATGCTGGTGATGAGGATGTTTTTATGGTATGTATCAAATAAAAATGAAGAAAATAGTAACATTGAAGTAGTAACATTAATATTGAATTTATTTATTAATATTATGTATAATTATGTTAATATATAATTTATTTTATAGACTTTAAATTTACCCGTGGAACCACCAGAATCACGTCCATCATCAGATACTCCTCATGGAATACGAGTGCCCAATTATCAATCCCAGTGTTCAGATCTTCCTGATTCCCATAAACCTATTCATTATATTGGTGGACCATCTATAAAAGTGCCACCATCTCAGCATCCTTTGGCAACAACTGAAGATGTTGGATCAGATAGCTACTCTTATGTGCAGCTCACAACACTTAATCATGAATATTTATATCCTATCATTGGTGATCATAAAGGAGATCGATTAAATAGACATAATACCAGCAGTTCTTTGAAAAAACCAGATATTATAGTATCTCAACCTTCTAAAAATACTATGAAACGTAACGTTCGATTACGATGTAAACATTGCCAAGAATTATATACAGAGCAGCACAATCCTAGGGGATCTTGTGAATATGCACCTGATCCTATTAGACGAGGAATCGCAAAAATTTCGTGTCTATCTTGTGCTCAGGGTATGTTATATCACTGTATGAGTGATGCTGAAGGTGATTTTGCCCAAAATCCTTGCAGGTGAGTAAAATCTATTGAAATATTTATTTCGATTATTTTTATTTAGCTTTTTTAAGATTATCTAAATTTTTCAATAAGAAAGTTTCAAAATATAGATGTTTAATATCTATAATGTATTCAATAGTTATTTGACAATTAAATCACTACAAATTACAATTACTAATTAAATTACCACATATTTTTGGGATGATTTTATAATACATAATTAAGAATACATTATAAATCAATATTAAATTATACAGTTGTAGTACAGAAGAAGGATGTGGACGCAGATGGTTTGGTTTGGCATTATTATCACTGATCGTTCCTTGCTTATGGATTTATCCTCCACTAAGAGCTGTTCATTGGTGTGGCACGTCCTGTGGCATGTGTGGAGGACGTCACCATCCGATGGAATAACTGGAGGAACCCTTTGATATCTCTGCTCCATACTCAGTTCAACCAACTACTGAATCAACCAACTTTTCTTCATCACGTGGTGCTGTGGCTAATGTGTATGAATGTCATGATCTGAGTATGGGTCGTTGTCAGAGGTATCAAAGGGGTAGACAGCTTCCAGTACATGCACTTATCCATCAGCGTCATCTTTGAAATAATTTATTTCAAACAAACCAAAAAAGATATGAGCACAAATTGTCGCATTTAGCTCTGAAACCATGTATATTCCATACATTTTGTATATTTTATTAGCAAATGCATTATTTAGACACATCTGTACATTAAACAATTTGGACGTCGTTTAGTATTTACTCTGAATGATTGGTCCAATAATATTATCTGGACTGACCAACTATTTGTGATACATGGTGCACACTGTGAGAATTCAGTCAAGAAAAGAAATGTAATTTGTTATTCCCAGTTTGAAAGCTAGTTTTCGTCTCGTATGAAAATGATAAGGAAAATGTTTGCTATATTATAAGATTAAATTTTACCGTAATTGTCAAGAAAGAGAAATATAGAGAAATAAATTAAAAGTTTTTATTCTATTATAAATAAATTAAAAATATTATTTATTAATTTTTTTATACTTTAAATTTCATCAAAGAATTGAAAATATTGAAGTTTTATTAATTATAATATTACTATTATTATTATATAATATTATTTGAATTATTTTCTGTTTTTTTTTTTATTTTTAATCTTGTAAGATCTTGTATATTATTTGTATATTTGAACCCAGTGTTGATGACATCTATGTTATAGTATTTTATATAATTTTTCTACAAGAAATAATTTGAATTAAATTCAATTTAGTTAACAAGATGTGCAAAATGTGTGTGTATGTTTATATTTTAAATTTTAAATATTTAATAAAAAAAAGTATACAGAGATTTTTAATCTGCTTCAGTAATTAGGTCAAACTGGTTAATAAAAGCTAGTTGCACTTTCACAAATATGTATGAAATTCATAATTAAATTGTATCATGTTTTATCAAAAATATTTATAATCATTCAAGAATGATTCTGAATATCTAGTGGTAAATAATTTTGTTCACTGATATGCAATTTCGTTTTTAAGGTCCTTTCGTATTGTGCTCTTTGTATCTACAAAATATTAATAATTATATAAACTCTATAGTCAAGTTATCTGTTAAATGGAATTTCTTATGCTACTATGTTGGCACAATGTTAAATGCTAAATAATATCAGTATTTACTATTTACTAGCATGGTACTTTTAGTACTATTGATCTTATTGTTACTTCATACATACTGAAGATAAGCTTATAAAACTTTAAGTACATGTATTGTCAGTTTGAGGCTTATTATGTATTGGAATATACTTTCAGTTTAAAATTTTATCATATTATAATTATGTATATATTAAAAAGATAATTTATATTAAAAGATAATTTTATGCAATGTTTGCATGAAATTGTTTACAGATTTAAAATTTTCTATTTTATAATATATTATAGTTTTCTAACATACATATTTGGCATTCTTGAAAAAATTCTGATTTATTGTATTATTTTTAATTATTTTTTATAACTGTATTAGTACCTAAGAGGTATTTCATTTCATTCTATATATTTTACAATTATTGAATTATATGGATTTTTTGGAATATATTTATATGAAAATTAAAATATTTTTGAAAGAAATGCAGTTAGTTTTTAGTATGCAATAATTTTGCTTATTGATGATTTGATTATACATTTTTTATAAGTATTCAACTTCATGAATTATAATATGTGATTTTATTCAAAAATTATTTAAAAATTTGAATTATATATTCAAATTTTAATTTTATTGAAAGAAAATTAATTCTAAAATGCTATGAATTAAGCATAATACAAAAATATCTTGCTCATTCTACATGACCATAGATATTAATGCAAGAAAACTAATAACAATTTAAAAAATTCAAAATTCAAAAATGATAATAATTACATAAAATCAATGATCATGTTATGAATGTCATAGAATGTTTTTAAATTATTTTTGAAATGCAATTTTTAATAAATAAGAAAAGTGCAACTTTAGAATAACAAAATAATTTATTGATCAACAACTTTTATAGACATTTAATTATTAAAAAAAGCAGTTATTGCAAAAATATTTTTCAAATATACATAAAATGAAGAATTAATTATTATTATGAATAATTTTCATTATGCCTTATGTTTCTAGTCCGATAATGATAATATATTTTTAATTCATTTTTTAAATTAAAATATTTTATATCAAAATTGTCTTGAACTGAAAATTTTAAATGTATCTATAGATTTTATTTGTGTAATTTTGTAATTGATTAATATTATTTCATATATAATGTATTATATATGAAATTTAATTTTATATTTAATTTTAATTATATTTTTTCTTTTTTTTTTTGATTTATAATAATTTTATTCTTTTTTATAATTATTGTTTACTGATTTTATGTGACATAGTTAAATGCTTCAAACTGCATTAGCAACAAATTTTATCTGCTACAAGTTGATTATTTCATGAACACACTTAATGATATTAAAATATTTTATCTCTCTGAGCTTCATATTTTTTTTAAATTTAAATATAATTATCATAATTTACAAATACATATAAATAATTTTTAATAATTTTTATTAATAAATATAATATTAATTCTGTTGTGTGAAATGATATATTTATTAAATTAAATTAACTACAAGTATATAAATATAATAGTTCTTTTAATAGATGAAAAGGAAAAAGAAGATACATTTCATAATCAAAATGCTTCCAACCAAATAATGATTTTATTTTGATAATAAAAAGATTATATTTATATTTATTTAATAAGCTCAGTGAGATATACAGAAATGATATAATTATGTTGCTTTTTATGTTGTATTATAAATTAATTATTATTGGTCAGGATTTGTTTTATACAAAAAATTATAGAAGAATATTATTATAATATTATAAATGCTTCACGACAGAATTTTACTTAAAGTTTAAATTATGTAAATATTAAATTATTTACTGCCATAAAAAATTGATAGTTTACTTTGATATTGAAGAAATTTCTTATTTTTATTGAGTTAAAATATTCCATTAATATATGTAATGTAAACAGTTTTTTTCTATATATTTAATTAAATATCACGATCTATTTTTAGTTATAAATAAGTACAAAAAATTATTTTTTCAATAAGTCCGTTGTGATGACTCATACCAAATGAGAGATACATATATGTAATCATTTTGACAATGTAGTTTTGTATGATATTGTGTGATTGAGCGAATGTATTTCTATTTAAATTCTTTTAATTATGAAGTATGACTGTAGGTTGCGATTGATCCGAGATATTACAACGTGTCTATAATTATAGTGATCAATAATGAACAGAAAATATAAATAAATATAGTTTGTATGATAATTATATAACAATGTTGATGATGATAATTATCGACACAAAGACATGTATGGATGCATAAAAAAAGTGCAAATTGCGTACGCATATAAATATAGGTAATGAACGTGAGAACGTATGCACATATAGAGAATATGTACACAAAGTTATTGTGAAAGTTGTCAAACTGGGAAAATGCATAAAGGTGCCTGCCAGAAATGAAAAACGTGTAAACACATTAGTGGCAGTGCTCAAATGCGATCAGTTTGCAAAAAAACTTATAGAGTATTTTCACTGATGTAAATGCTGCAAGATTAACAAATACAATTTTAATTCACGGATTCATTATATCATAAATGTTTAAATCTTGTATCATTGTAATTAAAGATATGTATCATAATCCAAATGTATAAGAAATAAATATATTGTACCATGACAAATGTCATATAAATCAAGTTTGTTGTTCTAAAAGTTTATGAAATACATTAAAGTACATTCTGAAAATATAATGTTTTTTTATAATTCATTAAATATTCATTAAAAAAATAAGAAAATATAATATTTAATTTATATTACACTTAAATTTTATACATAATAAAATAAAAGTTTATAATTCTATTAATTATATATGTAGATAGAATATATACATATTAATTCAAATATAACATACAAGTAAAATCTATATTAATCTATATTAATGTGGAGTTGGTGTATGACCATCTACATAGAAATTTCTTGTTGCTTGAGGTAGTTCCAATTCTATGCCATCTAATTCTTTTGTTAATATAATTTGACAACCTAAATATATTAAATTGTTTTAATATCTTGAATGAAATTAATATTAAATATTAAATTATATTATACTATAATTTATTTTTATGTACCTAATCTTGAATTTTCTTTTAAAAAAGGAGCTAAATCTAACAGATCCTCTTCTTTTTCTTCAGCCATTGGGAGTTTATCTGTATAATCTTGATGTACATATACATGACAAGTGGTACAAGCAAGAGATGCTTCACAAGCACCTTCCATTTCAATTCCATATCTATGGGCTAAATATAATATATTATCTCCCACTTTTCCTTTTACAGGTATTCTTTTTCCCATTTTATCAATAAAAGTAACATTTACACTATAACATTTAATAAATTATATTAATTAAGATATAATAGATTTTATATTTTAATTCTTTTTATGATATAGAATTATGATATTTATCTATAATGATGTAATATTCATATATGTAATTTTACCTACATATCAGCTTCTGATTTTGGATCTTCCATTTCATATTCACCAAGAAAGGAATCTAAAAATTTAGTTTATTATAAATATAAAATAATTTATTTTTAAACAATTTAAACAATTAAAATTTATATTGAAGTTATTTCTATCACATGTGGTAAGTTATATTTAAATATAGTTATACTTACATTTTGACGTATGGATATCGAAATTTGATATTACTATTGTTTGATTTATTGGTAAAAACGATCTTTGTATTAATCCTTTCCATGTTGACAACTTTGTAAGAAATGTCATTTTTATATATTTTTAATTCTAACTTTTATTACAATTATACCGCGAACATTTTACAAACAAAAGCATTACTTTTATCCCAATGATTATAAGGAACAAAGATAAGAAACTTAATATAAAAGATAGACATTAAGGCATTAAAATAAAGGTTAAGACAATTGTTACTATTGTTTCATATTACTAGTGAAATTAAATAAATTTATTCTTTTATTTTTGATTGATTTCAATAAATTAAATTAAATGAAATATTGATTTTTTAAAACGAATTTTGATTTTATTATTCGTATCTAAATAAATTTATCAGTGTAAGATATATTTGAAAAGTTGGTATTATTTTATGCACATTTTATTTGTAGTAGTGAATTTTTCAATATTCGCGTGCGACATGCAACAATATAGTGAATTGACAGGTGCTTGATGATAGAATATAGTGTTACGTTTTTCGTGTTTTTTTAAACTTTATTACCATATTATTACCGCATTATTTATTTCTCGTAAGTGTTTTAAGATTTTAGAAAATTGCCAGCGATGCAATGTATCAAGTTTTCATTAGCGGATACCGTTTGGCCGAAGTGTCACACGGCAAGCCCTATTATGTTTACTGTATTGAGGTTCTGGAATCAGAAAGTGGTATTCGATATTTTATCGAAAGAAGATACAGCGAATTTAACGCGTTACATCGCACGGTATACATTTTATTTTTATTGCAATCTTAATATTTGTATTAATATAATTTTTATTATGTAAAAAAATATCAAACATATATCTAACATATATCTAACAAAATCTTATTTTTTTTGCATTTAATTAATTTATTTTTAATTTCTAATTTTATTTTTTAAAAATAATATTGAAATAATAATATTGATATATATAAATAATATATTTTTAGACATCATGTTAATATTTATTCTATATAATATTTAAATAATTATTATAGAATTAAATTAAATTAATAAGGTACTCCTAATAAATTTCATATTATAGAGAAAGAAAAAAATAAGATATATCTTTATTTTTATTTAATATCTTTTTTACTAAACAAAGATAATGTTTCTTTTATATTCTTTTTCCATTCACTTTCGTTTGTATAAATAACCTAGATCAATATTCATGAAGATATACATATAACAAAATATAAATATATAAATATATAGATTATATAATAACATATAATACTTGTGTTTATATTACAAATTATATTTAGAATCATATTGGAATCGTTTTTGTTGTAACTAAATTTATACATGGTAGTATCTCGAAATTTATTTCATTTAATCATTTTAATTATTTGCTTTTTAATCAAATTGTTTTTAATGTTATGCATGTATAATTAATTAAAAAGAATAAAGTTAATTTTATTTTATCATGCAGTATATTTTTTCAATAACATATGATTAATCATTTTAATAACGCGTTATTTCATCAGTGTTTGAGCGATATATGATTTATGTAGTTGGGAGTTCTTTATATTGACTCACTATAAAATACTACATTTCACAATACTACATAACTATATGCAATTTCCGATTTCTTTTAGAGAGCAATTGGATTGCTCAAAAATCGCGAGTGAAATAAGTAGTAAAAATATCTAATAGGTGTGTGTACAACATATTAATTTGAAGTAATGTTCCAGATTGTAAGTTATAAATATATATATATATAAAACATTTATTGTTATATATATATTAAATTCGTTTTTATTAATTATTAATGAAATTTTAAAATTTGTGAAATTTTTATATAAAAAATTTATTAGATTCATTCAAAATTTCTTCTATATAATAGAAATATGATAGAATAGAAAGTATTTATTTGTTAAGATAAAAATTTAAAAGTCTAAAAAAAATATAAATAATATAATGTAAATTTAAATAATATAATGTATAATTTTAAATAATATAATGTATAAATTTTAATTTATTCATTAAATTTTATACATCTAAAAAAACAAACTTTTTTTTTTAATTTAAAATTATATGCTATGTATAAATTATATTTTTATTTATTTTTAATATTAATAAATTATTCAATTTATACAACAATATTATTATTTGATTTATTTTAGTTACTTATAGCATAAAATTATATATACATATAATATATACATATAAATATAATATGTACATATATATATATATATATATATATATATTTAAAAACCAATAGTATGTCTATATGTGAATTTAATATACATATATATATATGCATACTATGAAAGTTTTTTCTAATATTTTTTTAAATAAAATAAATAAAAATTATTTGTAATACGATTTTTTAAAAAAAATTGGAGAGACAATATATTAATAAAATATTGTGCATTTTAAATTTTATTTTTTTCTTCATATTTTGATGATTTATTTGTTTTAATGCATCAATCAAATTTCATCAAAGTTTATTAACATTCGTTTCATTACAGTTGAAGAAAGAAAACGCGGAAGTTGCTCCGTTTCCGCCAAAGAAGGTAAGAAATTGCCAGCCAAAAGTGCTCGAGCAAAGGCGAGCCGCATTGGAATTGTACATTCAAAAAATGTTAAGGCTTTCAACTACGAAGCAACAGGTTCTCAATTTTCTGGGCATAGAAGATCGAACATCAGGTGTGTCATATAAAAAGTATGTAGATATTTATTATTCTTTTTTTTAATATAAATAATAAATAAATTTATAATTATGATTATAATCAAAATATTAAAATTAAATATATAAATTTTAAATATCTTATGAAAAAAGATAAATTTTAATTTTTATAATAATTTATAAAATAACATTTACTTTTTTTTACAAGCTTAAATATTCTACTTTTGCATGCTATTTTTTCGTATCATCTTAACATAAAAATATTCTATTTCAGTACGTTTCAATACAAGGATACGGAAGATTCGCAATACGTTGACACCAGTGCTTTTAGTCATCAACCTGTATTAACTTTCCATTACGATCCATACGTTGAGTCTGGTTCTACGTCGAATAGTCTTCCAGATATAGTGATTAATGGTGTGCTTTCCGGAATATATAAGTCCTGAGAAGCTTACCTTAAGTTGCTTATAATGATATCTCCCATGAAAAATACTATATTTTATGGGAAATTTTAGCTCTCTATTATAAATCGCATAAAAATTAAGGAGGCCGTTTTTATCCATTATTTTTATCTCGCAAAAGATAAAACGGTGGGTGTATGTCGATAAATATATACATATGAAGAAATAAGTGCTTCCATTTTATACATATTTTAATGTCTTTAATTTCATTATTGTCGCTATATGCAACAATTTCTAATCTCTTTTCGATTAACGAAGAAAAGAAGAAAGAATTTACAATCTTGCGTTTGAATCAATCAGTCATTATTTTCTCAATCTGCGATATATTTAGATAACAAGAGTAATTTCTTATTAGTGTATTCAAGATATGCGAAAAAATATACGCTCTGTTATATTTGAATCATCGTCTTGTTTATTTCATCTCATTATTCTCAGAGTTTACATTATTTGTGACATTCATCTTAATTCTATTTAATTTTACTGGATATTTGGATTGTAAATGTAAATATAACTCATAAGCGGATCTCTTGCGGTATTTCTTATTCGCATTAATTCGTTTACTACCGTTTAAAGGAAATCACGGACACTTAAAAATCCATCATCGATATATTTTATTTTCCGATAGATAATAAAGTATATATCGCAATAGTATTTTTTCCGCATCGAGGACAGCGTTCATTCATTTTCTTATGAGATGATATTCTTTAAGCAACTATTAAATCGAATGATAATTATTATCATGAAAAAAAAAAACACGTTTTTAACTGATTCCAGTCAGATATACAACGCAACGATATATACGCTTCTTTTTTTTTTTTATTTTTTCGATTTTATCCATTTTTTGTCGCTGCTGCTGATAGGCGATCACGCGATTAGCAAGTGACTGATCTAGTGCCTGATTGTGAATAATTATAGCCACGAGATTTTAGTTTGTCTCTGTCTTTAATCTGATCTATTTTAAATTTGTCTATAGAACGCTAAGTGGGCAGAGACATGAAAATGTGTGAATTCAGGCGGTGTAATTCATTTTGGTCCACTGGATCGGGCGTGTTTGTCTTGCACTCGACGCGCAGTTTTCTTGTTTTCGATGGACTTTTTTTTTTGCTGAAAAATAGGAAATCTCTCTTTTTTCGGTTTCACGGTCGCGACGTTTTTCTTTTCTTGCACTATTATTATTTTTTTTCTTTAGAAAAACATGGAAAAATGGTACACATGCAAACCGGAAACGCCGTGACAACGGTAGTAATCATATATGTATATTCGCGATAGTAGGACCTTATTTTTGTATGTACAACTTACAATCTTTTTTTTATGCTGTTACAAGTATTAATGTCATGGTAATAAACTGAATCTTCCAAAGGTAAACGCCTCGTACCTTTCTTTTTTTTTTTCATTTTTATATCAAATGCATTAAATGTATAATTATATACAAGCTCCTCAGTCTTGTGCGAAGTGTAAGACGATTTTAGGTTCTAGCACTTCTGCCTCGGTCTAAACTAATCGTTTACGAATATTATGTATCGAATCATTCCTTTCTGACAAACATTTCGTTTCTTTTCTTTTTTTTTCCCTCCCCTGTTCCGTTCTTTTTCATTCTTTACGCGATCGTAATTATTGTGTATCGAGCAAACGAGTCGAAAGATGATTCATTCCATTTCTCATAATATGATTCTGTTGTTTCATTATGAGCTGATGATATATACAAAATTCATTGAACAATACATAATGTTTAATTATCGTAATTTAGAAGCTTATTGGCCGTGCGTGGCAGTTTGTTGAACTTTCAAAATCATTCGGTCCGATCACAATTTCGATTCGATCGTTCAATCTCAATTCGACTCGCTTTTTTTTTCAACAATTTTCTATGGTTCGAAACGAAACGAACATAAAAATCTAAACTATGGGTACGTGTATATCTAACATAATGAAGAAAATATTATAGAAAAGAAAGATGCGGATTTACTTTTAACAGCGAAAGTTATTTTCACGACTTTTTTTTTTTTATATTTACCAGTACCAATAACGTATTTCTAAGGCTTAATCAAGGT